CACCCCTGCCGGCGGCATCCCCGTTGGCCATCTTCAGCTTGCAGGGGTTTTTAAGGACCGGCATGGCAGCTCTTCTTCCGCAGGACCTGGGAATGGAACGGATAAGAGTGGTCAGGCACTGATGTGTAGGAGCATTACAAGGACTTTGCTTGCAAGAGCTTATTTTTCAGAACTTATCAAAAGCACGGTCAAGTTGGAACAAATGTTTGGACTACAATGTGGCATAATGGTTGGAGTGCTGGACTAAGACTCTGGGGACCAGGGTTCGAATCTCAGCCCAGTCTTGAAACCCACTGGCTGACCTTGGGCAAGTCACACTCTTTCAGTTTCAGAGAATGGCAATGGCAAACCCCCTCGAAGAAACCTGCCAAGAAAACCCCAGGATAGGGTCACCTTAAGTTGGAAACGACCTGAAGGTGCACACAACAACAACAACAACACGCTCTACCTGGAGCTTCCTTTGGAGAGGGTTTGGAAAAGAGCCCGAAATCCCTTGTTGCAAAAGCTCCATGGACTGCAGTTCCCTTTCCAGACCGAATTCAAAGTGCTGGCAATGACCCATAAAGCCCTGTGTGGCTCAGGTCCAGGTTATTCAAAGGATTGTAACCTCCCTTGAGACCTAATGTGGTGCAGTGGTTTGAGCATTGGGCTTTGACTCTGGAAACCCATGGAAATCCACTCTCTCAGCCTCAGAGGAAGGCAAAGGCAAACCCGGAGAAATCTTTTTAAACTTACAACATACTGTTTCAGACACTTTGTTTTATTTTATAAGCTACTTTGAGTCTCAGGTTGTGAGAAAGGCAGGATATACATTAGACAAGAAAAGAAATAGAAGCATAAATTTTGGAAGGGTGAGGGCCCCTATCTGCCTCCAAATCCATTTTGAGGTCCTCTGCCTGAAAACAAGATGTTCTTACGAGGCCGAGGAATTGCTAAGCACCAGCAGCCGGCAATGGTTCCCGAGGGGACAAAACCAGTTTTGCATCTGGGACCGCCATGGCAAAGGTTGCTTCAAGGAGACCCAGCCAGGAGTTTAGTGCTCCTGGCTCATCTACTGCCATCTTCATATTGCAAACTGAGTTTTGCATCTGTTCTCCGTTTCAGCAATGCCTTTTGCAGCACAATAGGAGGATGGTTGCTGTTTGACACACAAAATGCATACCTTCCAATGTTTCATGGAAGAGTTTCAATGATGCTGAGAGTGTGTGACTTTCCTAAGGTCACCAGTGGGTTTATATAACTGAGCCAGGAAAACTACTTCTTGCTTTTCCTTTGTCTGAATTACAATAACTCAGTCGCAAGATTTCAGCTGCTACTTCATACTTAATCCAACTGGTCAGGCTTTTCATGCAAGCCTTTAGCTTAAGTTTAAATGCCAATTTATCATAAACCCAAGAGTTAACGTTTCCCCTTCCAGATAGTCTAGTGCTCCAAATGTTGGACTAAGACTTCAAGAGAACAGGGTTCAAATCCCCGCTCAGCCATGGAAACCCACTAGGTGACCTTGGCCAAGTCAGAATGAGAGGAAGGCAATGGCAAACGT